AGTGCTTGTTTGATGCTTGGTGGAGGGACAGGATCGTCTTCTTCAACAACGTACACAGCTGCAGTTCTTATCTATTTCGGCAACTTAGAAAGTACTGCTCAATGATTTATAATGCCGCATTGTTGTCGTTAAATAGAGTAAGCGTGACGCTATATAGAGTGTAATATTGTATAGAAAACAATGTAAACCAACCAAAGTCAAGCAATTTCGACGTTTTAAGGAGTTTGTCGTTAAATCGAGTGACGTTATAAACAGTTTACACTGTATTTTAACTTATATGACTTACAATCGGTGGATAATAAATACACCATAAATTAACACAATTTACTTGGGATTACTGAAATAACATCTCATTATTACTCACTTTAAGGCATGTTTCAAATTCCATCGCCTTGCACATATTGATTAGGTCTCGTAATCTTGGTAAAAAGCAGTCGTCGTAGTATGTATATCCTTTTTCCTTCATATCCGATTTATTGTTGTAATCCCACTGTCCATCGTCCGTACATATTCGATATGCTAATTCTGTAAAATTTCACTACATTAATTACCAGTAAGCACTTTCATTAATTAAAAACGGTTAAGCACGCGTAATAGACCAATTAGGTAATAAACATCCACCAGTATCGAAAAATGAAATCTAATACGTAATCTTAACAAAAAAAATAATTTAAAGCAAAATTATGTACCTACTGCTTTAAAGAATGCAATTACTGACTATCAAATATATCTCTCTCGTGTGGTTTCTGTGTTCTACGTTGATATCTTGTCAATGTTACATTAGTTACACTAGGGTCGGTCATTGGACATACCGTTGACATTGGAAGATGAAATATTTAGGGAAGAGAATCGAGGAACTTCTATTTATTATTGTATAACCTAACAGCAAAGGCAAATCCTATGGGTCACTCAGAAACATCAAATGTAGGTAGGTAGGTAGATAGATAGATACCTTGAAAATTGAAAAATTCTTGATCGATTTACTTCTAACTATGAAATTTAAAGTTACGAATTGGAGTGGTGTAGAAAAGAGTAAAGTAATCATTAATAGAAATGAAAGAAAGAATTGAGTATTTTCTATATTTTAACAAGTATTGAAACTTGATCAAACTTCGACAAAGTTTTCATTGAGCTAGTAACATAACTGAAAAGGCTTCTTAATAACTAGGTACGTCTGGAAAAGAGTTGGATACCCTAATATAGATACCTATTGTAGACCAATTTATGATGGATTTACACGATATTGAAGAAAAGCTATAAAAACATAAAATAAAATTACACACTTGTAACGTCGGTTCCTTTTTTCCTGGGGCAAAGTTGGGTAATGTTTGTCCCTGCTTTAGTTGGAGGCCAACACAGTTCATTGTCGAATGTATGTCTGCAATAATCTGTAAATAAATTTGCTTTTATTTTAACAAAGTTTGGATGTGCGTAAGATAAAGGATAATAATATATATTATGTATATCTTGTCGATTTGTTTTGACTCCTTTCGCTTGCACACGTGTACCACAAATTATTATTCAGTTATTTGTTGATTCAACGCAATTGTTTTGTAATATATTCAGATAATAGAATAAATTTTACGACACGTCCTTCGTGTTATTAATTTTACACGTATGTTTCGTCTTGCATGTAGTACAAAAATGATAAGCATAGTCAATAAGTCTGCCAATGTGGGCAATAAAGTGGGTAGGATAATGTATTCATATTGTTTTGTTATTGCTGACTGTAATTTGTTGGAAAATGTTTGAAATAACTGCTTCTGACATATTTTTTCTAACTTTTCCTGAACACCCGGCACCTTCGCCATATATTAGAAAAACTAAAATGTTAGTTAAAGTTGAATATATGGTTATTCTGCATTATTTTAATATTCTGCATCTCTATAAAAACATATTAGAAACAGAAACAGGAGTTGAGAGGAGTAGAGGTACACCTAGAACAGATTACCGTTCACGAATAGTTAAGGATGTGGGATGCTCTAGTGTTAGGGAAATGCGAATATTACCTCAGAATATGAGAAAGTGGAAGTGCGTGTCCAACCAATCTTAAGACACCTAGGACTTACCGTTCGTTTCAAGAAGTTAGAGATATGCCCCTTCCCTTCATTAGGATGCGCCGTAGCATAATTCCAAATTCAATCATATTTGTCTGCGGAGCTCATTTCTCCACCGATCATCGAGCGAGAACTAGACAAAAGTGTACAGTACCGTTTGCAAAATTATTTAAACTGCTTTGTTAAATTTTAAGAATATGCTTTATTTAAAAGCATATTTAGCCAAAAATAATAACAAGAGAATTAACTTAAAGTTCTACCCACCTATAAAAACTTTTGCTTTGATTTCTATTGTTAATTTATATACATTTTTGTTTTAAGAAATTGCTAAACATTTTCGTCTAGTACTGTACAGTTCTAACAGATCTCATAAGACCGCCTATCGAGAGCTCTGCTCGTTCAAGCTTGTTCCAACTATTTCTGTCTTGCTCACCCCTAGAATGTATTCTTTTTATCTTCGCGCAGATTTCTTCAAGGTCACAATTCTAACAAATTGAAATGGACTGTATGTTCTTTCCTTACTGTAGAAATTCATTTAAGACCTTACCAATCAAAAAGTTTCGTAGACAATTTTTGTAAGAATTTATCTAATTGTAAGTGCAGTTGACATTAATGTAGAAAATGAAAAATTTATTAAATTCAATCTATTTTATTCTCAACTTCATATGACAATATCAATAGATAGGTACGTATTTACAAAACAACACAGACGGACTACAGTCACCAGCACAATGATAGTTACAGTAAACATTATATATATATATATGTAGGTATAAGTATATAGTATTGCTAATATGAGGGTAAGGTGTGTGTCTTAGATTTAGCCATTGATCGGTAAAAGGATTTTCTTCGAGCAGTACATTTCGGTTGATTGAAAACTAGCTTTCCTTTAGTGCTTCGTTTTCTCAACAGTTGAGATATTTTGCTTCGAAGTAATACGTCCATACCGTCCCCAATCAGGAATTTGCCACGGCTATATTTCAAAGCTCCAAATTCCAGACCTCTTTTAAGAGCTTTCGGCAGATACTTTTTCAGCGTTCGACGATGAACTGGAAAATTGTAAGTAATATACTCCTCCAGATTTTTCTTCGTCGTTCCGTTTCTTTGACAAAGATTCGCCAGAGCTGCTATAACCATTGCGGCGGCTTTTTTTACCTGGATATCGTAAAACGGTTTTTTGCAACGCTTTCGTTCCATACTATGCCGAAAACGTTAAAGACCTCTTACTAAAATTTTGTTACTTATTAATCCAGGGCCTGTCTGCCCTTGAATTGTCAAATAAACTGTCAACGTGACATGACATTTTTAAAAGCAATTCTCATCAGATCCTGTTTGTGAGGTGCACGAATTTAATTCCTTTACTAATTAAATAACAACTCAGAATGAAGTTTAAGATAACTTTAAATAATTCATTAAAATGTCGAACTTTTTATTGCACTTGTTTATATAACCGATTAGAAATTAGAAGCAGGTTAGCCAGATATATGTGAGGACCTAATAATGCTGTCCAGTTTAAGGAATTCCCAGTGAGGTCCTAATAAGGATTGAATAAAGATATCCGAAATTCTAAGAATATACTTGTCAGGTTCAAATCAGGATGTCCACAATTTATCCTATCAAAGTAAAAATTCATGAAATCAAGCTTTTCACGCTAGAATCTCATCAGGATTAGATCAATTCATACTTTACAGGGTAAATTCTGATCAGGATTGAGTGTGGATAAACTTGATTGGCCAGAATTTAAATATCAGATGACTATCCAAGAGAAAATGGATTTTCCTTCTTGTTAAATGTCAATTACAATTTTCCCAGTTCTTTTATACGATGTCAGAAAAATTTTATAAATAAATTTATGGTTATCTTGAAACTGACCTGTTTTAATAATGAATTTGCAATCAGGTTTTGATAGGTTCCTTTCTTAAAAAAAAGTGGGATCCACATAGGCTGGTCCTTGTCAGGACCTATTATGAATCGAGGTTATACCCTGTCAGGTCCACGATCATAATTTCTAGTCGGGTAATTAGGAGTAGCTTACATTTTCATCATCAGTAGTAGTTGTGTGAAGCTTTATTGTCCTACCTAACCTAACAAAAAATTGAATATCCACTCCATATCATTCTGAAAACATTGACCTCGAATGTCAGCTTTCTCTTATAACAGTAGCTGAAATAGTAGCAGTAGGCGCTGTGTTTTAATGACATGTAATACCTACAACTACAAATGTAGTTGATTTTAACCACCTACATATCCGATTTTAGCAAAGTGACTCATTGTCAGTCGAGATACGTTTGTGGAAGTTGTATGTCGTTCAGTACTTTTTGTACATGTACCTATTTTATATATTTACGTACCTACATTTAACAGTGACCATCGTAATGAAAATATTAACTCAATTGAATAAATATCTTTCATCTAAATTACTTATTTACATAAGTAAAAAGGTTAATCCTCTAGTTTTTATTGCTATATTATTACGTTTACGAATAGCTACTTAGATAGTCACCAATATAGTAAGAACACTACACTCAAATATAGAAGGTCAGATAGGTTCGTTACACAACTTGGAAAGGAAAACCATCTACCTACATGAGAAGTTTTTTTTACGTGGAAATCTCTTTTTGTGAAAAATAAATAATGATCTTTGAGGTTTTTTATCGGTTTTGAATTTTCATAAATATAAAATACCTGCGGTAAAAATAGCAACCAAATAAGCGTGCGGATTTTCTTTTCTGAGATAAACCATACCCATTTTTTGTTTGGGCTTGGGAAATATGAGGTGTATGAAAATGCAAAAGTTGAAATGACAACATTTAGAAGACAAAATTGGCCCAACTTTTACAATGAATTTTCCAAAAGACCGGCTGGGACATTCTTAAATAATGACCGAAAGTTTGACACCATCTGTGTTTAATGCCAGTTAAATAGCTTAAAGAAGTTTCGCTGGCTCTCGCATTACTTTCGTCAATACCTATGCAACAATCATAAACGAAACAAGTGTCGTGAAATTTGCTAAAAAATTAGCACTTTAGACTTGTTTTGTTATCGATCTGTTATGTAAATGCTTTTAGTATACAAACAAAAAATACGTATATTTAAGTATAAAATTTCACATGACATAAAGTTGAATTTTACAGTCTACATATAAATGACCGTCTAGAACAAATAATAAAAGTAGAAATTATTTACTCGAAAATCTAAAGCGAGTTTCAATGCACTTGTGAATTTTAATCTTATAGCTCTGCTCAAACCGAAATCAATTAAAAACCACCAGCACGGCATTTGTGCAGCATTCTGCTTTATCTCACCCCTGAAAATTTTTCAAGGTTAAAAAGGTGTGCATAATTTGAAGGCAACTGAACAGTTTTAATTTATGCCATTAGAGCAATCAAAATTTAATAGCAAGCAAAGTGCATTTGATTCATTTATATTTTGCTCATCCTTCTGAAAAGAACGGATTTTGATGTTTCAAAAACCAATTTAAAGTTGGCATTTTTCACTTTTTGGGTCTAGCATCTATATCTTATCATCACTGGAAATATTAAAGAAAGATGGATAAAACCCCATAATGTTTACTAAACTTTTAATATTTTCACAAGTTCGAAATTGAAATTGTGTCTCACAATTGGAAATATCAGATGAAAATGCTTATTATTAATTTTTCATAAAGACTTAAAAACAAAATGACTAAACTATTACGCTTAATTAACAATAAAAATAATAATTAATAGCAGGATATTGCCTAATACGAGCCCTTACATGGCTAACCCCATCCCGAGTTTACTATTTGTATTTTAATGCAAAATGCAAAAAGTTATTAAAAAAATACATACATACAAACGTAGACATTTATAGAAAATTAATAAATTTTCCAGTATATTATACACATGTATAGGTATACTTGCATTATCAAAATTTCTATAATCATACTGTAACTTTTACAATACTTTTGTCTATTAACTGAATTAAAAGTTGTTTTTTGCAGTGTTGAGTCATGATAAATTTATATTACGCGCGCTACTTGTATTAGTTCTTCTGAATATACACTCACATACCGGAATATTCTTGATTATTTCTGGAAACTTCCCGTAAGTTCCTTTTCTCGTGTCAGTTCAGTCCGCTGTATAATCTATGACTCGCGACTGTCGGATTTCAGGTACATAAGAGACGCTTTCGTTATCGATCGCTTGCGGCATTAGTTCATAACAAACTGAAATTTACATGTTACATCTCCATCACTCTGGGGGTGGGTTAAAATTTTAGTTTAGTTTCCAAATTTTGCACGTCTCTTACGTCTAGTACCAATAAATTAAAATATTTATAGTCATGAATTACAATATCAACAAAACCTTGATTGGTTCAAATCATTAAAAGAATAAATATAGCCTACTACTATTATGATGGTAACAATAATAGGTTTTACAGCTGGCAGACAGCGATTTGTGGTTTAGTTTAAAGAACTATTAAAACACAAAGAGAAGTTAAATAAAACAAATACTATTCAACAACTTAATTTATTTACTTAATCTGTACCAAAAAAAACTCTTGCGAATTCTTTAAGGGAATAATAATATTAGAAAAAGTATTGTACGTATGTCTAATGGGAAAACTAAAAATGTTAATTACAAAAGGTAGTCCAATATCAAAATTACTTTTATTGCTTACATATCCTATTCACTTTCTGTAGTGGTAAAAATACCATTAATTTTTATTGTCATCATATACATAATCCCCGGCAATTTCATAACACTTTTGTGATTAAATAGAGAGAGTTGGTCAATTAATTAATTATAGTACGTACGATAGAGAAATAAAAAGCAATTTTGGCCGTCGTGCCCAAATGCGAAAAAAATTAACCCTCAATTCCATCACGTTAACAGCACAACTACACGCAAACGCTTTATAGAGTGCCTAGTTCGATCGAATTGTTTTCGTTTTATACTTAGATAAATTCTAACTTTCCAGCAAACAGACTAACGTGCTTTGCGAACAAATTGCATTGCAAATAAAGTGCGTTTGAAAGACAAACTGGCTGCTGCATGTAAAAAAAGCACTGAATCGTTAATAAAAGCTTTTAATAAATGATTTTGAATTATTAAAAATACGGTTTTATTATTGGTGGCATTTTGTAAAATCAGAATTTTTGCTTGTGGGTTTTGATTGATATACATTTATTTCTTTTTATTTTTAGTGTTTTCTTATATTTTTTACAAAATAGCATTTAGGTAGGTAAAGTTAATAAGTTTATGATAGGTTTGTATATATTATATGAACACTCGTCATCATCATCATAAGGTCGACAATCTGTTAATTGGTTGAAAACGCACTTCCACTCTTTTCTATTCTGAGCTAATCTTCGCATTTCCCTAAAACTGGAACATCCCACATCCTTAACTATTTGCGAACAGTAATCTAATTTAGGTTTACCTCTATTCCTCTTACCTCTTGTTTCTGCTTCTAATATGTCTCTGACTAACCCTTCATGTCCGAGAAAATGTCCAACCAACCTATCTCGCCTATTTCTTATCGATTTCCGTAGTCACCTGTTTACCTATTCTTTCTAATACCTCATTATTTCTAATCTTCTCTATCCATGGTATTCTCATCATTCACTTGTAACACCACATTTTGAACGCTTCTAACCATTTTTTTTTCCGACGTGTCCACTGTCCATATTTCGCACCCGTACAGCGCCGCACTCCAAACATACACCTTTAACAATCTTTTTCGAATTTCTAAATTAATCGTTCGCGAGCATAGAAGTGGCTTCTTTTTATTGAAAGCGCTATCCTCTGCTTTATATCCCTACTACTCCTTCCGTCTTGACTTATCTGACTTCCTAGGTACCGAAAATCAGCCATTTCTGTTTCCCATATTCGCTTTTTCTCGACTTTTTAGTCCCTTGCATACGAGTATTTTATGAACACTGATGAAATAAAATTTAGTAAAAACTGGTGACATCCCCCACGCCGAATTTAGTTATAACCAACTTTTTTCATATTTCTCCAACACTTTCTCAAAGCTGTAGATTGGTATGCTATTCATATAGGCAAACATAAGTATTAAATAAAGGGCTATATAAAACATAAATAATTAATTAGAAAAGTAAATGTAGTGTCCTTCCGATGTAGCGATTGAAACAGGAAACTTACCTTCATTAATTGAGTAGTTGAAATTTTTATACAGTTCGTCACACAAGGTTCCATTCATCATGTTCAAGTAGTATGCTGTCTCACGATCAGCCTAGAATAAAAAGAGTCAATGTATAGATAGATAAATATACCATTTTTTATTATTATTAAAATAATCTCATCGAGACCAAAGTTACTATTGTAAATCCCGGTTACCTAGAATTTTTATTAGCGGCGCGTACGCATTTTCCGATCGCTCATAATATTTTATAGTCAAAGCCACACAAGAAGTATAGCTTCAAAATAAAACATGAATCAATTCGTCTGATGAGAAGTATGACCTCACTTTTCATCCCCTTTATTTGGATAAACAGCATATCAGTCCGACATTTCGTTTTCTAGTTTTTAGCAGTTGTTATTATCAGTTTTGTTTTAGTACCTTATCGAATGACGCTGCAAACTGAAAAGGTTTTATTTAAATTTTTTGAATGTCGCTTTCTATACGGATAATGAAAATTTTGAATTATAGATTATTAAAGGATCAGCAGCTACCACAGAGTTTGTCAACCGAAAGCTTATGATAACATCAACATGACATACGCTTTGTAAGTTATGCTTTGCAATATGAAATTGATTTTACATAATCGTCTGTGTTTTGATGCTCATATTTACTGATAAACAAATTATGTTATATCTATGTTATTTTACTGCATTTCTATTTATGGGAAAATAATTGTAATTTATGACCTATTTATCGATGAAAATACCTAAATCATCAGTTTTATGAGTACATTTAATAGATTAGTAGTAATAAAGACATTAATTTATTGAGTTCTGTAGGAGTAATAACCGAGGAATCATAAAACGAAGATAATAATCGGACATTATTGGACTAGCCTTTTTAATTAATGATTTTAAGTAGGTATCTCGTACCTGGAATGTTAACAATAGTATCTTTTACACATATAAAGCAGACACAGTTCTGTACGAATAACTAAGACTATACCCCCTCCTATCAAACAATAATAAGTCTACTCAAAACTTCTCCTTTCTTGGCCCATTGAACTGCTCTTTCGAGAGTGGCCATAATGGGAGGGGATGTTAACTTCTCTTTAATTAATCTGCAATACAGCAATATTTTCAAAGAAGTCATCATGACTTGAATATTCTATTCACAGTTTGATTAAATGTATAAAGCTTGCAGCTTTTGTTTTTGATTTTAGTACTACTTATGTATGTGAAAAACCATTCCCGAAAATTAAATGTACAAAAAATATTTGAAGTTCCAAATTAACCAATGAACATTTAAAATCGCTGTTGATAATTCCTGCTGGTTAGTTAATTGAGGTTTTTGGGGATGAATGCCGTATTATTAATTTTAGTTATATACCTATGAAAACTACTATGTTTCTTAATTGATGTTAAATAAAAACGTCTGATTATAATTTTGTATGAATTATCTGCTTATGTCTTGTATATTTTATAATACATTTAGAATAGACTATTGGGAGGCGGATATGAGACATGACTGAGTCGTTACTGCGTGTCGGACTGATGGTACCCGCGGACTGGGCCTCTGGTTTAAACCAATAATATGTGAACTAAAATTCAATCGTCGCTGGATACCCTCCTAAATTGGATAAAGTTGGATATTCAGTATAACTAATTATGGAAATCTCAAATACATATTTAGATTGGATCTTTTCTGTATACGCAATTTTATTTTTTATTCCTTCTTTCTTATGTACGATTACAGATACGTGCTAAAATTTTAGTAGATTCAGCGACGAAAGAGCACTATTTCGCCTATAATCTAGCACTACTTCATACTAATAGTTAATTTATACACTTTTATATGAATTCTCTTCCATTTTATACTTTCTTCACATTCTCAGTATTGCCCAAACATGTGTAGAATATGAAAAAATGACTTACTCGGATGAATACTAAATAGGATATACATGGTAATATCAAGATAGGTATGCTGTCGTTACTTTTTTAAACTGTTACTATTTACTTTGTTCTTATCATTATTCAATTAAATTGAATTGATACTTTTGAAGACCAAATTTGAAGAATGGCGGTTATTTCTATTTTTGGTTTCTTAGAATTTAAACTTAATTAAGTATCAAGATATTTAGAAACATGAAAAAGCACTTCGTAGGTTTACTAAAGTGCTTATTGCCATCTGCGCGTTTCCCGGGTAACCCAATCATGTGAATGAGAAACAATTGCCCACTTGTTTTTATGATGTTCTATTCCACCTGTTATCTAGATTGCTGCTCTTCTCATTGCCGCACCAAACAAGGCACTCACATTACGAAACAAACAATAACAACTTAATAATACAATGCCAACATTGCTATTAATAAGTAAATTTGATTATGATTTTAAATACTATCAAACAACAGAAATGCAGTAATATAATGCCTAAATATAAAAGCTTTCCATCTCTATATGGATAGTGTGCTTTCGGTTTTATCGTTAGAAGTAGAAAATGCTACTGCTTTAAGTAGCTCGATCGATACATGTGTGTCGCTTAACCTTCAACAAAAGCATCTTTCCTTTTTAATTTCCCTACATGTAAAGCTAGGGCTAAGCCTACTTGTTAAATGAAGGAAAAACATGTTCCGCTTTCACTCTTCTGATTCTATATGCTGACTGCTGCAACCTATTTCCCTGAAACGTTGCCGACGTTGCCCTTGTATTTCATTGCTTAATAACGTAAGCAAAGTTATTATAGGTTTATTAAAATAACTTATTATTGACATGATTTTGATTTATTCATTGCAATCAACTCAATTGATTCGGTAGCTGTGACAGTATGATTAGCCGCAGTAAAAGCCCTCAGAATTTTGAACTATTGTTTTTTATTTTTGATATATTTATTTTTAATGAAGCTTTATTTAGATGTATGTTTGGAGCGCGGCGTTGTACGGGTGCGAAACATGGACGGTAGGTGCGGCGGAAAAGAAAAGGTTAGAAGCGTTCGAAATGTAGTGTTACATGCGAACGATGAGGATACTGTGGATAGAGAAGGTTAGAAATGAAGAGATATTAGAAAGAATAGGAAAACAGAGGACTCTCTGGAAGTCAATAAGAAATAGGCTAGATATAATGGTAGGATACGTTCTCAGGCATGAAGGTCTAGTCAGAGACATATTAGAGACAGAAATGGGAGTTAGGAGGGGTAGAGGTAGAGTTAGATTAGATTACTGTTCGCAAATAGTTAAGGATTTGGGTTTTTCTAGTTTTAGGGAAATGAGAAGATTAGCTCAGGATAGGAAAGAGTGAAGGTGTGTGTCTAACCAGTCTTAGGACTGACGACCTTATGATGATGATGATGATATTTAGAAATGAAGAGGTTCTAGAAAGAATATTAGGAGAATAGAGGACTCTATGAAAATCAATGAGAAATAGGCGAGAAAAGTTGGTAGGACATCTTCTCAGGCTTGACGGGCTAGTCAGAGACATATTAGAAACAGAAACAAGAGTTAAGAGAAGTAAAAGTGGACCTAGAATAGTTTACTGAAAAAGTGGAGGTGTGTATCTAACCAGTCTTGGGACTGACGGCCTTATGATGATAATAATGATGATGAAGGCTATATTGAAGTTTTATTTTGCAAAAAATGAATTGTGACTTAATTCGGACCAAAGGCTATTAAAAACCCAACCTAAATTAATTGTTGCTGTTGTCACATTCTCGTCGGGAATTGAGCTGGTGTCCCTGACTATACACACCATTGCTTTACACTATCAATATATAATCATTATTAACAATGAGACACTTTTTATATTGTATATAGAGTGAATTAATTAATCCTTCAAACAAAAAACATTTGTTTCTTTATTAAACTTTGCATAGGTAACGTCACGATTTTTCACCTACACCTTCTCGTCATTTAAACTTTCACTATAACTAAAGTCAAAAGCTCTTACAAAACTCGGTATCACGATATGTAAGGACAAACGATTTCAGACATAACTTCCAAATAAATGGACATATTAAAAAATTCGTTACAATTTAATAAGATAAGAGGTAAATAAATTAAGTGTAACTCCACCGATACACTTTCAAATTGTGAACGACTCCATTAAGGTGGTAAGTGAACCAAAAAACTTACGAAGGTTGAGAAGGTCCTCGAGAAGCTGTACATTTCTTAGCTTGGGGATAACAATCTCGAGCAAAGATGTCGCTCTATACAGCTAGTCATTGCAGTGGTTGGCGTTTAGAATTTAAATATTTTGTAAGGAATGTATGGACCGCAGTGTTGTGAACAACCTCTCCATCATTTCAACTTTCTCGAAGCTTTACTGCTCCAGAAATGTAAAGACGCGGATTCCCGAGAGAAGTTGCTGAATCTCCGAATAATTTTCGAGTATCACTTGAAACCCCCGTCGGTGTAGGCAGGTACTGTGCAATATTGGTCCTTTAATCTCAGCGAGCTTACTGCGAAACGAAGGGAACTGAATATCCTTCAGTGAAAGCGATAGTGTTTATTACTAGTGACATTGAAACAAAAGAGAGAACAGATGTCAACAATAAATTCTAATAAAAATTCCACGGGGTTGTTTAGATTAGAGATGGGCCGGGAATTCGATTTGGATCGCGCACCCGGCGAATCCGGCATTCTTTTTAGGATCCAGCCGGATACACTTTCGCAAGATCCTTCTTAAATATTTAAAATGCTACAGTTAACGGTAAATATCATAATAATATAATCATTAAATAAACTAATTTGAAATGGTCTCTATTTTTGGATCTCATCAGCGCGTCGCAGGCAGCTCCGAGAGAACACAGACCAACTATTACCTGCTGTCTTAACAGTGCGTTTTAGAAAATACCACAAATGACGCAGTAAACGCCATCTTTAGCACGATGCTACATTTTAGGATTACGTATGCTCCAACAAGGTCCACTTTCGATCTTTTTGGATCTCATCAGCGCGTCGCAGGCAGCTCCGACAGAACACAGACCAACTTCTACGCCGGGATTCGTTTTCAGCAAGTAGATATCCACACAAGTGAACCTTGTTGGAGCATACGTAATCCTAAAATGTAGCATCCTGCTACAGATGGCGTTTACTGCGCCATTTGTGCTATTTTCTAATATAATCATTGTTTTATTACCCTGATAGTGCATAGAAAAGCACAGTTACTTCGAATTAAAGTCCAAATGTTCCGAACAATAAGTGAAAAGTGAGGTGACCAATAACAATAATTAATTTGTGTGCGTATTGTGAAAGAAAATGAGGTAGTTGAATTTGGAACTCTTAGGAACCCAGTAAAGAATTTCTGTAAACTTTTGTAACATTTCCTGATCGCATAACGAATACATCTAATTAATGTAGATTGAAGGTGAAAATTAAAAGTGTACTGGTATCTACTGTGATAAAAAATTGTTATACTTATAGAACAAATCTGTGTATGATTTCAATTTTTACTTTTGGATTTGACTCCAAAAGCGATTATGTAAATATATCGACGCAATTCACCTTAATCTAATAAAATAAAATAAAAATGCATTAAATTTATGGCGCCATTATTTTTATTATCCCTGAATTTCTCCAATAAAAAACGAACACAGTCGTTTTCATTGGAAGCTTTTTCAACTTCTTCTTATTATTTATTATTATCGTCGTTGAACATAAAATGGAATTATGAGTTGATCGAAATTTCTTATCACCTTTTTCCGTCTCCCACGGATTGTCTGCATATTTTTACGTTGCAATTGCAAGACTTTTTAATGAACACCGCTATAAATAACAGTATCAAATAACATTGCCCATAATATATATGTTTGTACGCATGTACATATACAAACGTTTATGACTAATTCGTCTCTGTCAAACGGTTTTTATACTTGAATAAAAATGATTTAGTGCAGGACAGTCAATGTCACATTCATCACATGTTTATCTACCGGTCTCAATATTGTGGAATACATGTCCAGACGTAGACTTTTTCCTGGAATTTCTCATTACACTCCCAGAGTATAGGTAAATATTAGGGACCGCTTCTTTCATAATGAAAGGCGCGGTCTACTTACATTAGGAAACTTGCCATCGCTCATTCTCAATTTGTTACATTGTTAAGCAAGAAAATTACCTTCTATCTACAACATACGTGGTCATTCAGTTTACCCTATTACTAACCAGAGCTATTGTTGAAGAGGAACTCGGGATAGAAAATCGGCTAATCCGTATAGGCAGGTATTTAGTTTGAAAGGAAACGTTTCTATACATATAGAGAGTTTGTATTTCTTTTAGTGGTTGTTGGCGATTTTCACCATCGACACAATGGCGTCTTCAGGGGGAAGAAATGAAAGTGAAAAATGTTCAGTATCTACATGTTAAAGTCGAAGGCACTCAGCAGTTTGGCCTACGCTTTGGAAATGTTCATTTATAATCTTATTATGCATGTTTAAATTTATAAATATCGGCTTATCACTCATCCCCTGTATCAATACTATTGGTTAAGTTTGACACCCCATGGTGGAAAAATTTGCTGTGAATTCGATAAGCGCCCCATTGACACAATACTCAGGGGCATCTCCTCTATTAATTTACATTTAGAGTGATTTTTCTTCTATCATACAAAGTATTTCGAGTTTTATCAAAAGGTATACCTATGTATAGAGGCAGAGTACCTACATATCCATCTTTGATTAGATATAATAAGCATGTTCTTAACATTTTATATGTAAGTTTGAATTGTAGTGTTTTATTTACTGAACTATGTTGGTTTTTCTAACGTACATATAATTATTAACCCATAAATGTTAAAAAAAAGGCCAAGCAAAATACTAAACTTGAACAACAAATAACAAATACATTCGCGCATTTGTACGATGTGATTGTATTTGATGTTAACTCTTTTGTTAATTACCGTCTAATACTTATTAACTTTCACAACCTCTCAATTTAGTTTAAATGGTTGAATAATAGGAGTACAAATTCCGAGGATTGGTGGTCAAGTCTTTAGCAATTTTCTATTATTTTAATGCATCACGTACATAATTTATGTGTTGTACTTGACTATGAACACAATTACTTTCAAAGTATCTCAACTATCAGGGTAACTCTAAATGGAATTGACTTTTAAATGCCCTAATAAAATATTTACGGGTCTTGCATACCCTGCTTTTTAAGACACTTAATAGTTTATTATGCACCAAGGATATTAAAAAGGACTTTTTCATACGGCAAAGGAAATATTTGAAAGATGAAAAGTAGCGTTTGTGTTTCCATATTAATGTAGGCAAATCACAGATACTTGAAAACCGACGACTATTTTCATGTTTGAATAATCAGAAAACAAAATAATAACGAAATACTATTATTAATGACTATGAACATAAATGTACATCATTAAAACACAAAAAAAATTGACGAACATCTTGATAAGGATAGGTAAGTATGTCCTAGAAAGGAATAACGAAAAATTTTTTGTCTCCGTAAGGCAGACTTAAATATTTCAAGCAATAAAGATTGCAATTATATAAGTACAATTGACAAAACTTTTAAAATCGTATACTTTAAATAAATAAATATAAAAAGGCCGAAAACGTCTAAATTATGGTAATCGATATCATAATAGGTTCATTATTTTCCTAAGTTGAATCATAAATGCTGCCAGAATATAACGTACAATACAAATATCGTATTTCAATATGCTGAGACATATTATTGGGAAGAAATTCTGAAGAAATATAAAAAGAATCGTTTTCAGTAATCAACAGAATTGTTTCCATTTTATTAATCTCTAACTGACTGAAACGTTTTAATCGCCAATTTTTGTAAAAAATGGCTTTGCAAATATTCTATGTAAGATTCCTTCATTTCTTTAATGTATTTATTTTTGTTTTCTAGATGTAATTATGGTGCTATTTGGAAAACAATACAATGGTCCACATACATTTATACACCAAGATCGCCTCCTGTAAAGAAAACAGGTACGTTTTCCTTACTATTTCGACTTTGCCTACTAGGGTTGTTACGGACTTCCGCATTCGCATCCGCATCCGCATCCGCATCCGCATAACTTTTCACGATTTAATCTTTAAAAGTATAGGATAGATGGCACAAAGTTAGATGATTTTAAGTTTACAAATTCGCCCATAACACAAAGGATCTAATTTTCAAATTAATTTAAAGTAAAACTATCCAACCTTACGAAAATTCTTTTTAACAACTACTTCACTTTACAAAAGCTGAAGAGTATTTAGAACATGATGAACTTAAATACTATTATTTGACATTAATACAGTAATGTCAAACGTAATCAATTCTTTTAAGAATTAATTACTTTTATTCTCCGTTTCTTCTTTTTGGTTCTGATATACGTAAAGAATTAGTGCTAGTAAGTGTAGAACCGATACTAAAAATAAAACCTTACAGCCCTTATTGGCTATAATTAATTTTATCCTATAAATAGCTAGTTAGTTATCATGAATATATTGAATACATGATGTTTAAAAGTTATTTATAAGATTAGCGTCGTCTCTGCGAATCAAATTTATTTTGGATAAATGCCGCTTTAGATTATCATTTTCGTCAGGAATTTATTGTGAAAGGAAACACAGAATAGACGTAAGACATTAATTTTATTTTAATGGACGTAATTTCATAAATTGAAAACATTAACAATAAATACAATTACCTTTTCTGCACAACCTAATTAACTATGTGAATTGAAATTGTGCTGCAGTTAATTGACTTTTGCAGTGTTGATGTTTGTTTGTGGTTAAAACTTTACTTGAGGTTGAACTTGATTTTGGAATACCTGATCGATGAATAACCTTGATGGAAATTATTTACAAATCTTCACGCTACCACAACATATATTTGTACGTAGTTTAATATAACTCGTAATTTCCAACGCCTACATTCGTATGTCCCTAATGCATGATACATACATACTATGTGCGTGTGAAACGAATGCATGATAGAGATATTCGAGTCCAGTCAGTTACTGTCGTAATAAATTTTTGAAAAAATAATCAAACGTACGCTTCTTACCGCTAAAAATATCCGCTTTATGTATTATTAGCATTATTATTACCTATAGATAATTTCAAGGTTTTCACACGGTGAGTAATTGCCGAAGAATTAGGATTCTTAATAACTAAATCTTTAACTACTAATCGTTAGCTTATTTAGAATGCAAACAAACCATTATTATACATAAATATACAGGATTTTAATTTTAGCGTCTGCTAAATACGGATCTGTAAGTAGTATCTGCTTTTAGCGGAATTATAAAATAAATGCGGGTTAATCTTCAATAGAGTAGCAATTAAAGGTAGTTGCTATTTAACATTTAAGGAGCACTTCAACCAACCTAATTAAATCAATATAATTTAATTTGACTTTGTGATTTTCTTTGATCCGTTAAAATTGAAGAAGGCGCCTGTATACCTATACGTACACCTGTACAAAAATTAATGGTAAATTGTGATTCCCCCCCCCCCNTGACCGATGGACAAACGACCTGCTTTCTATTATCGGATAAGTACATTCATTAAACCTAAAACGTGTTTTTAAATCTATATATAGTTATATATTTTTTTAGTATTGAAATATTGCGAGCATTAGCCTTTATTGGTTTTGCGGTTGATTTATAAATAAACGTATTGGCAAAAATCTTGCTGCACACCGTCGACTGAAGTTCAATTTGTATTACGATAGAGATGTGTGTAGGTTGGCTGTGGTTTGATGTTGTGGAAAATTGCATCGTATTTTCCACCCCGAGATTATCGAACATCGCGGCTGAGACTTCCTTTCATCGTTCAGTAAGGCCTTAACCTTCGTTGCTGAAGGCGTACTTCCTGACTGATATCGTTACTAGGTCAAGTTCTTCAGGGCGGAAAAACTGATACAGAACCTGATGCATTCTTTTCAAACTTTTAACAATAGGTTTGAAAAATTCAAAGGTAAAATTGTAAACCAAAAATTTTAAGTTAAATCGTTCAGTTACCCAATTGCATATACAAAACTTGAATGTGAATTTCACATACCTACAGATTTACAAGTCCAAATAAAGTACGTTTTGAAAATCTTCTTGTCCGCCGCTCACACCGTCCATGCTTCGCACCCGTACAGCGCCGCGCCCCAAATATACCCCTTTAACAATCTTTTTCAAATTTCTAAATTAACCGTTCATGAGCATAGGAAGTGACTTCTTTTTATTGAAGGCGACTCGACCTTGTGCTATCCTCTGTTTTACATCCCTACTGCTCCTTCCATCCTGACTTATCTGACTTCCTAGATACCTAAAATCAGCTACACACGTGCAACCCTGTGAGCCTCCTTCGTAATATTTACTTCCCTACGTATCAGATCCAGGTCTGTAACTGCTTGTTGCTCTTTATACCAACTATGTATCACTCTTCTATCTGTGTAACACATCCCTACATTTTTAAATATATTTAACATCTTGTCCAGTTCTTAAATCTACAAATCCTATGTACGCACTCTTTCCTTTTTCTTTCGTTTTCCCTATTTTATTTTTATTTCTTTTTTTACTATTAACCTAAAAGTACGTACTACCTCTAAGCTTTATTGGTATTGTATTTATTAGTAAATTAAATAAAACGGTGGTGTTTTAAATGGACAAATAGAATGCACCACCTTTAATTTTTATGTAATGATTAATCCCTACCTTAAGGCTAGTAGTATATAAAGATTTTGTGCTTATATTTTAGTTGGTTAATATTCCACAACAATGAAAACATATATTATATTATTGCGTTAGGTTCAAGAGTTGAAAGTGTCATCTATTCAATTTTCAATGCAAGAATGATCATAAATCTAAAAATAAGGTGAATAGCAACACCGACTGAGACAGTTCCGTGTATTTTGTTTTTTTGGTATAAGTACTTTCGATTCCCACTAAATTGACATGAAAAATGTAACATTAAGCAAATAAATTCTAAAAATACTCATTTCATCTTGAAACTTTATATACACTGTTAAACACTGAATTGTTATACTGGGCTTCTGTGACGCAGTTTTATATGTATACCTACCTGAAATAGCTTTCTTCTACTACATTACATACTAATTGTTTAATGTTGAGTTTGTGTTTTGCTCTTTCATCTTATAAATTTTATTGTTTTGGTTTGCAACATCTGTTTCGCATTTAGTCATCTTCAGGCTAGTGGGGAATCTCATTGACTGATTATTTGTGTATTTATGATATTATTTTCTTTTTTTTGTTTATAATTAGTTATATTTTCATGTTGTGTAATTAAATTTCTCCTTTTTTGGTGCTTTTGTGAATGTGCGGCTTTTTACTAAGATGTAGTGCATAGTTCTAGTCTATTTCTCTTTTTCTTTGGGCATTGATACGTTCAGTATTTCTATGTTTTATTTTCCTGTCAGTTTGCCCTATGTGTATTTTGTTTCATGTAGTGTAGGGAATGTTTTTTTTTTCTTTGGCCTATACAATTTTGTGTACTAAGAAAGAAACCATTTCTTCTAGTCCTAGAGTAGGATATGAAATATAAAAGTGGGCATTTTTGACGTCACTACAAGACCTGTACACGTATATTTAAATTTTATTTTATTTTATGAAAATCATCGTACCGTCAACTGATCAAGTTTGCATTATTACAAAATTATATTCAACGTCGCTTCAATCCCTCTTTGTAATGTTTTAATGACTTCCCATAAACCATAATTAATGCTACCCTTGCCAGCTCCTACGGTTCGCGACCGCAAACTTGGGCAAGAGGTGTTTCATCAAGATAATTTAACTCTTTAAGTAATTGGGGTTAAATCGCAATTTAAACTTTAAGAATGTTTATTTCTTGTTTACTACCCCAACAAACTTGGCGACGCTCGTGAAAGAAAGGCGATCCTACATTTATCTGTATTTTGATTCGGAATGATTTTTTTGCAAACTAGAGATTGAATTATTAGAGCATCTGGAGATAGAACGCAAGATTGCGATAGGTTGCGGTTGAGACTTCGAGGTATCACATTCGGCCATGTTGTGAACGCAAAACCACTGAAAATATCAGTCACATTTGTCGACGAAACGTCTGGACTTCAGTTCATTTAAATTGTCATTGATTCCGGTCGTGAAGGCCTATTTATTAATATCTTCCACAAAAAACTGCAGATAAATGACCGCGATCGGTTAATTTTGATAGAAGTATTCAAAAAAAGCAGCGTTATAATAATAATAAATTCTGACTGCAAAAAATTAGTTGAAAAACTGAAATTTCAATCGAAATGTGTATTTTATTTGCCGAATATCTAATGCCTAGCCTTCAACGAAATTGGAAAATCGGAAAATGTAACGATGTATTTGACGAACGTTATCTTACATAACCCAAAGGCTACTTACTGGACTGAAGCTGTCGATATAAAAATGAATTCATTTCGTTCCAACGAATATCTAAAAAAATATCTTAGATACTAGCAAAGTTGCTAGAACTTTTTCCTACTATGCGCTTCATTATATCTGCTAAGACCATTTTTATTGACTGTATACTGAATAACAAATATAGCTTGTAGATAGACGGATTAAGAAAACATTATCGTGCCTTTGCAAATATTTATTTCGCTATCAAAACGGCATTTGCTTTCGTTGGATAATTTTTATTTTTAGAAGCGGATACTGAATTTCATTATATACACATCTATATGATTTGAAATTCAGGAAGCTTGTAGTAGTAAATTCGGTCTAAGATTAGCTAGCGAACGTGTAAATGTTTGCATGATGTTCTGAATGGTTTTATCAAACCTAAACGGTCATTAAATTTACACTTTATGCCGGACGAAACCAAACCAGAACGGGATCTGCAAGAGTCACATGGAAAAGGAACAGGAGTAGATTGAGAGGTGCCTACCTATCATGTATACCTTCGCCAGTTTCTGTATTTCTTCGTCCTGTAATATGTCTTTGGAAGCTTATACATACGTATTGTTAGCCTTCTATATCTATCCCTACAGTTGTACTGTGTTTAATGATGTTGATGGCGTCTTCGATGTATAGATTAGAAAGTAGTGGTGACAGTGAGCGTCCCTGTCTAATATTTACTTCTCTACGTTGCAGATCCAGCTCTATAACTGCCTGTTGCTCTTTATACAAACTAAGTATCACCCTTCTATCTCTGTAACGCATCCCTACATTTTAAAGTATATCACATTTAACATTGTCAAAAGCTTTTTCTAAATCTACAAATCCTATGTACGCATGCATTCCTTTTTCTATCGTTTTCTCTACTTTATTTTTATTTTTTTTTTTTGGTGGGGTTAGTATATAAAGATTTTGCGCTTATATTTTACTTGGTTAATCTTC